CAGGAGGCCGATCTTAGAAAAAAATGAGACAAACTGTAGTAGAAGACAGGGGGCAGAGCTGAGGCTGAGACTAGAAATGTCCTCAAAATATTTTTACATACTGATATTGTGTTTTCACCAGGTTCGGTTCTCAGACTCTGTCGTCACATTAGACATCAATAAAACTAATGTTGAAATAAATAAATAAATTAAATCAGATTAAGACGAATTAAATTCAACTCTCTGTTAACACAGTCAGTGAGCAGAGCTTTTACACCAACAGTGATTTTCAGTCTTATTTCTGTGTAGACTCTGTAGAACTAGTTCAGTTTTTTTATTAAACTTGAGGCACGGGGGCCAAATGTGGCCCGCCGAGTCATTCTGTGTGGCCCACAGAGCATTTAATGAAGTCCATGCAGCAGAGTTTATTAACCCGATAAAGAGAGATAACGTTAGCGGAGTCAGGTGATGGCCGTCGGACTGATGTTGGCAATGAAGCTGACGACTCGTGTCCTAGGAGACGAGTGATGACGTCAGAGCCGATGGAAACGTCTTCGTGTTTCATTTAAACACAGCTTTACGAAACACATTTTCTCAGAACTGTTTTTCTCTAAATCAGCTCTTTCACACTCGACCACACACCGTCCTTTGTCATCGGACCGCCGCTGCCTAAAGTTATCATCGTGACGCTCGCTCCAGTCGTCATGTGAAAAACGGCTGAGACTGAAGAAATGTAACAACGAGCCCAGACCAAGGTTAGAATGATGACTGAAGTCTCTGTTACAAACCGGCTAGAACCGGTTCGCACCAGGAGGGGGAAGTTCATCTCCCGGACGTCTTTGGGAACGCCGCGTCCTATCGAGGCTTGTCATCAGTTCACGTCTCATCACATAAACTCACAGGACGACAACAACAGCCTGAAGCTGAGGTTCTGTGGTCGAGCTGAACCTGATGTTGTTGTGTTTTATGTCACACATCAATAATCACGTCGTACACTTTAATACAAAGGACTTTATGTTTTAATAATAATAATTTATGTTTTCTACGGGGTCGTTTCAAAAAGACGTGTAACGATGACCTTTGTATGACCTGAGGAAATGTTGGGAAACGTTTTGATCCGAGGATGTCCGATATTAACTTTTTACCGATATCTGATATGCCGATATTGTCTGAGCGCTTATTTTCCGATATCAACCGATAGCGATATCCGCAGTCGTTTGCCGGTAAAAAGTTTTTCTCTTTTGTTTTCATGGAAATAAGTTTGTTTTCACTTTTTTTTAAAAAATCATCAAGCGGGCCTGTTTTGGCCCGCGGGCCACCTGTTTGACACCTCTGCCTGTAGGTGGAGGAGCTCTTGTGCTTATTTTCAGGGTCACATATTTCAAAAAATAACACATTTATAATAAAAATTGGAGTTGCAGCTGGAGGTGTTTTCTTTTTGAGCTTTAGGGAGAAAAGATTCTTCATGTCGAGATTTTTGTTTTTTTATTGATGAAAAGTGTAGAAAGGAGAAAAGTTCGGTCAAAGTCTCAGCACCTACGGGTTCGTTCCAGACTCTTAAATCGACTGGATGGTTCTACGGCCAGACGCGGGCGCCGGCGGCGGCGGCGTG